ACAAAGAATTTATATGTAAGACTGAAATAATGAGAATTAATTGAAGCAACTGAACTTAAGAATAGTGTGTTTTGGGTGTAAAACGTTCTGGTTTTTGCAAAGACTAAATACGTTTGTAACAAAATAACAACAGCAAACCCCAAACACAAGCATGTAGGGCTTCTGTGACACTGGGGTCAGTTCCCTAGTGTGACGTCTCTGTGAGGACTCCGATGTGCATTCTCAGTTATTTGCCAAATTCCCACAATTCGTATTGGAAACAGTTGAAATCATGAAAATAACAACAACAACAACAAAACTGAATGCCCGTCAACTCCTGTCTTCGGTGATCTCTAGAGAGAGCAAAAACATGAAGCTGAGAGCCTCACTCAGCTCCCGGGCCTGGTGACACAGGATGGCCTTCCCAGGGTTACCCTGAAAGTACAAGAGGAAAAACAGCAGGAAAGCCAGGTGGTTCGCAGCCAGCCAGACCCAGTGGTGAATTCAGCATCCTCTAAGACAGTTGAAAACATACAGGGCACCAACAGTTTAGTAGAAAAAGCCATTCACCACATTCAGTGTTTTCAGTTGGCATCTCTAGTTGGCTCAGGAAGGACCTAGAAATATATTTTTGAAAAGCACCAAAATTTTTTCCCACCCTGAAACATCAAGGCTGGGGGTCCCTTGGTGTGCGGTGGTGAACTCCAGGCTGGGGCCCCTTGGTGTGTGTGTGTGTGTGAACTCCAGGCTGGGGGTCCCTTGGTGTGCGGTGGTGAACTCCAGGCTGGGGCCCCTTGGTGTGTGTGGGTGAACTCCAGGCTTCTGTTCAGTGCTGAGCCACTTACCTCTGGGTTCCGGAGACCCTGGAGACTCACAGTGAACCCCTTTTCTGGGTGGCAGCTACACACAAGGAGAAGGGAGCTTGAGGATCTGGAAACACAAACACAAAGGCTTATTATCTTTCTTTCCCAACTGTGGGGCAGTCAGGGAAAATTAACCCTCTCATTTGATAACTTCAATAACAGGCTTTAACTCATCTGTAGCCCTGGATGGCACAGATAATTGTACTAATTGGTTTGGTATGGAGGGACAGCAGGGCAGAGAGCTTTGGGGAACTCAGGCAATTAAGCTGAATTGGAGGAGGAGGAGGAGGAGGAGAAGGAGGAAGAGGAGGAAGTGGAGGAGGAGGAGGAGGAGGAGGAGGAGGAGGAGGAGGAGGGGAGAAAACTGGAGGAGTGGGAAGGAGGAAGAAAGATGAGAGGAAGAGGAAGGGGAAGGAAGGAGAAGTAGGAGGAGCCAGAGGAGAAGGGAGGGGAGGGAGAAAGACGGGGGAGGAGGGAGGGACAGAGTGAGCTGTCTTACAGTTGGCATGTGGGCTCTGGATGTCTGGAACAAATTCTACTGCAGGGCTCCTGGGCCACTTTTCATAGGGCAGGGTCAGAGGTGAAGGCCGGAGGATGAACATGGTAAGGAAAGGGAACTTTCTATCAGCAGTAAGAGAAAGTCACAGGGAACAGGTGTGTGTGCGCACACCTGTATCTAAAGTTCAAACTAGGAAAAACAGCAGCAGAGCCTTAAAATTTCCACAGTGCCAACACCTCTAGTGACTTCTGCCTTGACTTCCTTTGTGGGTAGAGTCACTTCCTTAGTTGGAAGTGACTGTTCAGTAATCCCATGGCGCTTTCCCGTGGGATTCTAAATTTAAAACGTGACTGCTAACTCCAAGGCATGCCGGAGAGGGTTGTTAGGAGTTGAGTCCTCTTGAGAAGCAGAGGCAGGTAATTATGCCAGGAAAACAGCTCTCCTCCTTCTTCAATGCTAGGCACCGAATCCTGTTTCTTTTCCTTTTTCAGGAAATGGTAAACACAGGGAAAGAGAAGGGAGTTCCAGACCCAGGGTACCAGAGTACTACAGACGAAACTTCAAGTCTGGCTTGTTAAGCCTGTTATTTCACGAGCCTAAAAAAGCGAGACGATGCTCACCCCAAAGACAGTACCAGCTGTGGGAAGGCTGCCCTCGCAGATCCATCCTTTGGGTGCTGGTGTCTAGGCACTATGATTTTAAACTCAAGCCATAATTAGAAACCAAAGAGGAAAACTAGCAGACTCTCAGGGAAAGGTTGTGTCCACCTGGAGACTTTTGACTTTGCAAGGCAAAACGAGGTCTAGTGACACAGCCCAACGTATGGTGTCAGCCGTGGGTTTGATCCCCAGCACTGCCATAAGCAAAGGAACACGTGAAATGCTGGATATACATACATAGTCTGTCTGCCTGTCTGTCTGTCTGCCTGCCTGCCTGTAGTGGAGATTTAACCCAGGGCCTTGTAGACCTTGTACACACCGACCGAGCACCACTGAGCTACACCCCTTCTCTTGAGAACTGTTTGGAAGAGGGGTATCATCTCAGACTTGCTGCTTTCAGACTTTAGTTAAGGATCTTTAAAATGAGAAGTCTAAGTCCTTGAAATAATCACAAACTTTCCTAAATCATCTGCATGTGACTTTGTATTAAACTGGTCCATCTGAAAGATGTTTCTGGTACATTAGATCAATACTGCAATATGGCTTCTCTGGTCAGTTTGGGATTTAATTTTTCTACAAGTTTATTTAGCTTCATTTTATGTGCACTGGTGTGAGGGTGTCAGATCCCCTAGAACCGAAATTACAGACTGTTGTGAGCTGCCAGGTGAGTGCTGGGAATTGAACCAGGGTCATCTGGAAAAGCAGCCAATGCTCTTAACAGCTGAGACATCTGTCCTGTGCCGATTTGTTAGTTCTTTAGATATATAAATACCCCCAGGGTAAGATGTGGTGATATTTATAACAAATAAAGTTTACCTGAAGATCAGAGCACAAAACCAGCCAGCCACACTAGCTAGCCATAGAGGCTAGCAGTGGTGGTACACACTTTTAATCCCAGCTCTGGGACAGAGGCAGACGGATCTCTGTTAGTTCAAGGCCACCCTTAGCTACGTGAAATTGACCGTCTAAGAAAGAGCTCAAAGGTGACCTCACACTTGGGATCCCATGCCTTTAGTCCCAGCACTAGAGAGGAATACAAGGCGGGAGGAGACAGGAGCTCAGTGAGTCTGAGCAGCAGTGCAGTTGGGAGCAGTCTGAGGTTAGGGGATCGACCCTTCTGTCTGAGCATTGGTAGAGAACTCTCTAGTGGCTGGTGCTCTCTGATCTTCAGTATTAGCCCCAGTATCTCTGGGTTTTTATCATTTGTGCAACAGCAAGACATTCACTGAACCAAATACACATGACTCAATTAATTACAGGTGGCTTCTGGCAGTCACATCTCAGTGTACTGGGTGCTCTGGCCCTGGCGTCATACTGCCTGGGTCTCCCTTGAATCATTGTATTTTTAATTTTTAACAACTTCAAATGTTGATAGGTGACTGTTATTCCCTACTTTTTAAACATAAAAACCTGACTCATGTCGGGCGGTGGTGGCGCACACCTTTAATCCCAGGACTCGGGAGGCAGAGGCAGGCAGATCTCTATGAGTTTGAGGCCAGCCTGGTCTACAGAGAGTTCCAGGACAGGCTCCAAAGCTACACAGAGGAAACCCTGTCTCGAACCCCACCCCCAAAAAAAAACAAACCCGGATTCATTTGTGTGTGCATGGGGAAGGGTACACACGAGTGTAGATTGGAAGACAATCTGGGAACAGCTTCTATGTGGGTTCTGCTGATTGAACTCTGGGGTGTCCAGTAAAACAGCTTACTAAACTCACTGGGCTATCTCCTCTACCCGTGAGAGAATAAATTAGTCTTTGTACCTCATTTCTCCCCCCTTGGAAAGTGGTAATAATCCCTCTTCACAAATTAAACATGTCTGTGAATCTTGTAAAGAACGAAGCCTGGGCTATAGTAGGATCTGGCACATTTTGGCTAGTCAGTGTTGAGAGAGCGAGGTAGTGGGCAGGTTAGAGAGAAATGAGCATGTGAACTCTTGTGACCAGGTCACTGGAGGAGAGCCAGGCAGAGCAGAAGGTATAAGGCAGAACAGAACGGTACACCCGGACAGCACATCTGGGAACTGTAACCCACCCGGGCAGCTGGATCAAGAGCTGAGAGAGCACTGTAGATACGACGGATGCCTCCACAGACCGGAGATAGTGCAGCGGCAGAGACGAAATGTGGGAGGGAGGGGTGATTCCTGACACAGTCTGTGGGGACGTTGGGACAAGGGGAGTCAGGGAGCAGGATATACAAGCCTGAGGCAAACCTGGACAGCATTCCCCATGGGGGCAGCGTGTCTGAGTCTGCCGAGAACTGCTGGGAGGGGTGTGCTGGCCTCGGGAAGATGGGGGAACCAGCGAACACAGGAGCCCAGGAAGGAGAGGAATACAGAGGCTCCTCTTGCTTGGCTTGTGACACACAGAGTGCTAACATAGGAGCTGAGCAAAGAAAGCCCAGCACAGCAGCCAAGGCATGGGCAAGGTTGGGGCTTCACACCCAGCCCACAGAATAAGCCAGATGCTCAGCTAAACTGGAATTTCAGATGACTTTTTAATGTGTCTCTTCTACCACATACACTCAGATTCAAATTTAATTGGATACCTTATGTTCTTCTTTGCTCAGTCTGGTAATCTTTCACAGAAGAGCCTAACTTCACACACTTAACGAGGAAATGAACAATACACCGTGAGGCATATGTGGTTAAGTGCAGCTGAATAATCAGGACAGGAAAATATCTCCCCTAAAGCAGCAGTGTGCATGGAAGAGATGACTATCCTTGGAGAAGGACTACTCTGAGAGGTCTGGGAGTCTCATCTGACTCTGGAGTCAGAGCCCTGAGTTAACCTGGAGTCTCACTCCCTGGCATGCAGCCCCATCCAGCTCTCCAAGCTCTCCATTACAAAACGGAGGACACTAACATCTACTTCACAGATGTACAAGGCACCTACATGTGGGAGGCTCTCCCTACATGCTAATCCCTTCTGTGAATTAAAAGGTCACAGGGCAGACAGACTGCTTGTCAAATACTTGTTGGTGGCAAGCAATAACAGCAATGTTGAAGTAAGTAATTTTATTTCCATGATCATTTATTTACACTGTACAGACACTATGAAAAGCACCCACAAGTTCACAGTACATTACAATATACTTACTTTAAAAATATATTCCTTTATGAAAGGTTCAAACCACTGCATGTCCATGTGACAAAACTCTCAAAGTCTGTCACCAATTCTGTGATAGCCAGAATGCTTCTTAAGTACTGTCAGTTCCCAATCACAGGTCACCATTGGAGTTGTAAATACATACAGGTTTAAATAAAAATGAATTCTAGTGGACAGTCTTGAGGCGGTACATTAGTTCATGGACATAAATACTTTCCTGGAGATGTCTGTCATAATAGCCAACAATAGCAAACACTCCACCCAACACCACATGTCAAGAGCTCGGTGGCCATGGGTTCTCGACAACGCCTCTCTACTTCTTCTTTCTGGCTGCTTCTCCTGGCTCTACTCTCCGAGTTTTAGATGCACGCTCATCTTTGTCATCGTCTTGAAGTGGAAAAGAAGAGAGCTTCGTTAGTAAGTCTCTAAAAAATCAACAAGAAAACTCATTCATTAGCTTTACACCAAAACACTTATTCATCAATTGTTTGAAAGCTTATCAATAAAAACTAAATTCTAATTTTAGAACCTTGATATTAAACTACATATGAAAACAAACTTTTCTTTTTTTAATTACAGTAAATTAACTTTTTGGGGACAGTAAATGTGGCTTGATTTATCTTATTTCTATGAAAACCAGCTTTCTCTGAAACTGGTGGTTTAAAAAAACGTTCTCATGCACATACTGCGTGCGTTTGACACACCACACTTGACAGGAATAGAAGAGTTTCCTTCTACAAAGCACTAAGCGGCCAGCAGCTGTACTTTTCCTCTCCTCTCACTATCAACCCCGTCTGCTCTGAGGTTGCTGTAAGCACAAGTCAAGCTCAGAGAATCTCCCAGGTGTCTGTTCTAACTCTGGACCGTTCCTTCCAGGTGACCAGAGCATTAACAGCAGAGCAAACAGGCTCCCCCTTCACATTAAGGAAGACTTGGATGGAGGAAGACTTTAGAGCCACACAATAAACAGTACCCCCACTGTTATTGTTTAAGGCCACAGAAAATTTCCATGAACAAAAGTATCAAACCTGAAAAAGCGGACCTTTTCATCTTATTTAAAACAATCCTGTTATGCGGTTCAATACACATGGGCTAGCACAAACTAGTGCTAATTCACATCTCCCTAAACAACTGTGACGGCGTGATGGTGGTGGGCCTGCAGTCCTAGCACTCAGGAGCTGAGACAGGAGGACTGCTATGAGTTTGAGGCCAGCCAACTATACACAGCAACAACCTGCCTCACCCCAGAATTCCATATAGATACACAAGGCTTCTGACCTCCTTACAATTCCACGGTACCAGGGACGAAATCCACAGCCTTCCAGACAACCATTCTACACTCAACACCCTTAGCCTTGACTCTGCTCCGCTTTCTCCCCTCTCCCTCTCCTCCCTCTCTTCCCACGCAGCCTAGACTGGCCTGTTTTCATTGCTCTCCTGCCTCAAGCCTCCGGGTACACAAGCCCCCACGCCTGGCTGAACTTCATTTTCTTGGTCAACAGGATAAAGTCCAATAAAATATTTTGATGTTTTAAGACCTTTACATTAGCCTGGCGCTGGTGGCACACACCTTTAATCCCAGCACTGGGGAAGCAGAGGCAGGTGGATCTCTGAGACTTCGAGGCCAGCCTGGTCTAGAGTGAGTTCCAGGACAGCCTCCAAAGCCAAAGAGAAACACTGCCTCTAGCCACCCCCCCCCCCAAAAAAGGACCTTTGCATTAAAAGATTAACTGGGTCCAAATGCCAGGCCCTCCTGCTTCCACTTCCTGAGTACAGGGGTCATCGTGTGAAGACACCATAACCACTTCAAACAAACAAAAACTTTGTTTTTAGCTGCAGCTTAATTATCAAGTTTACCCTGAAATTATTTTTAGAAATAATATGAAAGCTGAAGATTACTATCAAGCAACACTATTAACATACATTAAAAAGGGACATTTCTGCTTTAATCTGTCACCTACTACAGGTAAATCTACTGATAAACACTGAAACCACATACTACTTGGACTGGAAAAATGTTCCCATGAGTGACTGGAGTAGGATAGATCCTGTCCCCTAGCATCAAAACCAGGTACTGCCATAAAAACCAAAACCAGCACAGGAATAGCTTTTTGTTTTTAAAAAAACTAACCCTAACATAGCACAGACACACAGATATAAAAACAATTTTTTTGTTTTTTCGAGACAGGGTTTCTCTGTATTGTTTTGTAGGCTGTCCTAGAACTTACTCTGTAGACCAGGCTGGCCTCGAACTCACAGAGATCCGCCTGCCTCTGCCTCCCCCGAGTGCTGGGACTAAAGGCGTGAGCCACCACCGCCCAGCTAAAAACAATTTTTCTATTATGCAATTTAAATTTCCCTAGTAAACTACACTATCTTAACCTGTGTGCTTTTAAAATGAAAACACAAGTTAAACAGAAACCATTTGCTCCATCAGCTGTCTTTTGCAGCCATTTGTCAATGAAGCCATGAAAATCTACGTTTTACTTCTCTGCGTTTCGTGGTCACTCAACAAGCAGCCCTGAAGAGCAGTGAGAGACAAGGCTGGATTTCACCTGTCAGCTCCTCTAAGTTCTGAACATAAGTGGCAAAAAGGACAAAGGGGGAGCATGGGCTGGTCAAATAAAGCGAGGTAGCTTCATAATTTACAATGTTATTAAATGGGTAAGCTTTTTCACTAATCAGAAACTACAGGCAAATGATGTTGTCAGGGCCAGGGAGATGAATCCCTGTAGTCTATGCAACAGTCTGACCAATTAACTTGTCTGTAACCTCAGAGATTCCATGGCAGGGAGAAAGAATGCCCAGCTCAAAGGCCAGCTAGACATAGCACGAATGCATGCATACGAAGCAGAGAAGTCTCAAACAAGGCACAAGACAAGGACTGACACCCAGGGCGGTCCTCTGGTCTCCACACTCACTCATACAAAAAGAAAATTAACTAACTAATAGCACGTTCATTACTAGAGTTAGACTCAGAAACAAACGCTTAAACCTGAATCAACAATTTAAGAGCTGCCAGCCAGTGGAGGTCCATGCTGGGGAGGATTCTGTGTCCTCATGCCTGTGAGGAGAGCATGTGTGACTGTGCTATTCCTCAGTCTGTGAGGAGAGCATGTGTGACTGTGCTATTCCTCAGCCTGTGAGGAGAGCATGTGTGACTGGGCTATTCCTCAGCCTGTGAGGAGAGCATGTGTGACTGGGCTATTCCTCAGCCTGTGAGGAGAGCATGTGTGACTGGGCTATTCCTCAGCCTCAGTCATACCATTCGGCCTTACACCAGAGAAACCTTGGTCCTTTGTCTTTTCAATTGCTGACTCACTTTCTGATCAAAAGCACAGGAGGAGCTATGGTAATGTGGGTATTATTTGTCATCTACTTAAATTGCTTGTAATAGACCCCAAAAGTTAGAAAAGAGATGATCCTTGCTTACTTGTAGGAAACTTCTGGCCTTTATCATAAGGGGACAGAGATGTAAAGGCAGGAGACTATAGCAACCTGGATTATCAACTCTGGTCCCTTGAGAAGAATGACAGCTTCTTAAACTGTAAAACACGATGGGACCAAACCTCAGCTTAGTAAGGCATGCATCCTATTTCAGGGTTGAAATAGGTCCAATTTGTCAGTTCCCGATGGTGTGAACTTAGGCAAATTCCCTCACATCAGACTGCTTTCTCATCTACAAGACAGTGATAATGAACTATGGGTCACTATTGTGTCAGGTTGCTAAGAATATTAAATTAGAAAATTGGATGAAGATTTTACTGCGACCTTGAACAAGTCATAAGCTCTCACTCTACATTTCCCTATTCTGGGTTTGTAAGACTGTATAAGGATTCTTTACTCAAAAATACTTTTTAGTCAAAGTGTCAGACAATAACAGGCATTAAAATTCACACTTTGTTTAATATCTTCAAAAAAACATTAACATAGTCTAAGCCTACAGTCCCAGTGCTAGGGAGGTGAAGGCACAAGGAACCTGAGTTCAAGGTCGGCTTCAGCTACAGTAGAAACTCCCTTTCTGTTAATGTCTCTCTGAAAGGCCTTGTATCGGAAGATCAGAAATCTGTTACCAGAAAGGCAAAGGGCCCAGGCTCAACCCAACAGTCATCCGCTCATAACGTGCTGCTAACGTGGTACCGCACAGGGCCCGACCCAGCCTGTCACAAATGGAGAGCCTTAGGAACAAATCCATACAATCACACCGAATCAGCAGCACTGGCACACTTAGGTAAAGGAGATGACGTACTAGAAATATTGGATTTTGTAAGATGAATGACTATCAGCCAAGTTTAAAATGTCCTGTCTAGACCTAGGTGCAATGTACATCAAAAGCCAGGAACCCATGACAGTGTCGTCCACTCAGGTCTGACTTCAAGACCTTCAAAATGACGGAGGTGAGGGTGCTGGGTGGGTCACACCCCAAGCCCCGGCTCTCCTGTTCGTGGGGGCTTTGGGGCAAGCCAGTTACACAATGAGACATGAATTTTAGAAGCTCCAGACAGAGAAGCGGGGGTGAGAGACTGCAGGGAGATTACTGGGTAGTCCAAGTGAGAGATGGAATTAAGAGATTACCAACAAAGGCAAGAAAGCCAAACCACTACGTCCGCGGTGCCACGCGCAGCCGATCTCACTGGCACCCTAAAGCACAGCTGTTCCAGGGCGCAAGGCCGTCAGCACTCCACAGGTGCAGCTACACGGGCCTGCGAACCAGCACCTGCCGCTCTAACGAGGCGCATACAAATCTCAGCCCCGCCTTTCAGACAGGATGTGGTGGGTCTCAGAAACCCGGCAGATGCTGGGTGGAGGCCCATGCCTTTCATCACTGAGAGGCAAAGACAGGCTGGCCTCAGAGCATAGCCAGCTCACACCGTCTCACACCAAACCAAACCAAAATCCGGGGAGACGGAAGTGACTCCTTGTCAGCATCCAAAGCCAAGTCTTCCAGGTCACCAGGGTGTGAATTCTGCCGAGTATCTCCTCCTCCTTTCTTTGTTTTCCGAGACAGGGATTCTCTACGTAACACCCTGGCTGTCCTGGAACTGGCTCTGTAGACCAGGCTGGCCTTGAACTCGTCACAGAGACCCGCCTGCCTCTGCCTGCCCAGTGGCGGGATTAAAGGCCAGCGCCACCGCTTGATGTCCTCAAAGAGAAGCATCGAGGCCGAGATCTTACAGCACCCTTACCCGACTCCACCGTCTCCTCCCCCTCCGGCAGGAGCCGGGCTTTCTTAGCGTTCTGTGGGGCGTCATCGCCATTGTCCTCATAGATGTTCGACCACTTTATGGCCATGTCCAGCTCGGGCGGCGGCGGCGGCTTCTTCTCGGGGGTGTAGGTCTCCGGGGGTGGCACGTAGCTGGACTTCCAGACCTTGAATTCCTTCGGAGGCTGTTAAGTAAGCACATTGAGAAACCCTGTGACGAACCGAGGTCCCCGCGGTGGATACGAAGCGCGTGCCGATCACTCATCTTTCTGGCTGGCTTTGAAAAAAAAAATAATCCTATAGGCTTAAAAAAACAAAAAAAGACAACACTTTTTTCTTTTTTTTTTTTTCTTGCCATCCACATCACAATACGGTTAGGTGAAAAAGCCAGAAGGGTTTCCCTCTGTAAAACGAAGCTAATAACTTTTAGTTACCCAAGCAGAGTCCGGTCTCAGACACTACGGCCGGGCGGACCCCTTCAGGAGGCTGCGGCAGAGACCCTGTCTTGGCGGCAGCAGCGCAGGCACCTCGGCGTCAAAGGGAAGGGGTCCCGGGGAGGAGCTGCAGCGGGGGGCGGGGAGTCACCACCGTTAGTCGTCGCCCGGCCGGCTGGGGCGGGGAGGGGGCCCCGGGCTGACACCCCCCGGGCTCCCGGGGCCGTGGGGACGCGCGGCCGCCTCCCGCGCGCGGGCTGAGTGCGAGCGGGGGGCGGGCGGCCGCGGGGCCGGGGACCTCACCTCCTCGGGCGCCTTCACCACGTGCCGCTCCCAGTCGATCTGCTTGTTGAGCGGGTTGTAGAGGAAGGCCGGCCGGCTCACGCTGCGGAACAGCTCGTCGGGGCCCGGCAGCCGCTTCTCCGCCGGCTTCCCGCGGACGCCCGTCGCCGGGGCCGCCTCCTTGCGGACCCCGTCTTCCGGCTCGCTGTCCTCCTCGCCCGACGAGTCGGAGCTGCTGCTCCCGTAAGCCGCGAAGTAGCTCAGCGGGTCCTTCTCCTCGGCTGCCATGACGGCGGCGGGCCCACCACCCTCTCGGCCGGAAGCCGGAAGCCGCGGCTGGCCCCGCCCCGCACCTAGATTGGCAAGTGATGCGTTGGCGCTCCCTAGCGGCGGTGATGCGCTCCTGCTTCTGGGCGGAGGGAAAGGGGCTGAATCCCACAACCCCCAAAGCCAGATTTTTAAAAATTTGCTCTTCCCCAGGGGAATCCTAGGATCTGTACCGGTGGCCATACCCAAACTCTCGGCTGGTAATTATGGCACGGAAAAGCCAGGCATGGCGATGCCTGCCTATAACCCTAGGTTGAGGCGGGTGGGCTGTTGCAAATTGGAGGGCCAGAGAGGTGCCAACAAGGGGTTCCTTCCCAGCCTCGTACTGTGTAGGAGACACTACCTCACTGTCGGAAAACACAACAACTGTAAGAACAAACAAGCATGAGGGAGCGGGGCCACACACTTTCTAACCCCAGCACTTGGGAGGATGAGGCAGGAGTATTGCCACAAACTAGAGGCCAGTGTGGTCATTTTGCCCCCTCCTCCCAAGAAGTTGGTGTCATTGTAAATATTTAGATCCCAGTTAAGGATTCCTGGTCAAAGGCGACACTCATGAACAACTTGCCAATTCTGTTTGAGTCTTACCTCCTAAATTCTACCGGACAATGCTGTTTGATGGTGGAAGGGGCTAGCCTGCCTTGTTCATGTTTATATTCCTGGTAATTATTTCAGTGGCTGTGCCCATGGACTACATCAATGAATATTGTTGGATTATAATTTATGAGAAAATGGGTCTGAGTGTTCCTAAAATAAGTTCCATCTAAGTACCTAGACTGACAGAGATAAAAATGTTCCCAAAGTACAAAGTCTTGGGGTCCCCCAAATCATCCTCAGTTCTGGTGTGGTGGTGCATTATCTGGAATCTCAGTCCTGGGGAGACGGCAGCGAATGAATGCATGATCAGACATCCAAGGCCACCCCTGTTTACATAATGAGTCTGAGGCCAAGTCAGGTTACTGTGAAATCATCTCAAAAACAAACCAACCAGGAGCCAGAGCTAAATGGACAAATAAACAACAGAATTTCCAGGAAACCTGAAAGCAGCAAGGCCTCTTGGACAGGAGATCAGTCTCTGGCATTAAAAGTAAAGACTCAGAGCAGATTATCAGGGGCTGGGGAGGTGGCCGAGCCAGTCAAGTGCCTGCTGAACATGTGATCGCCTGAATTTGAGCTCTCACCACCCACACAGAAACTGGTGTGCTGTATGCATTTGTATGCTAGGGTGGGGGAGCAGAGCCAGGAGGATCCCAGGATCTGCCGGGCTAGCCAAATGGCAGCTCCAGGCTGAGCAGAGTCGCTGTCTCCAAACAATTAAGATGGAGAGCAATGGAAGACACCAGACATCGACCTCTGGGCTCTATACACAGATATATACTATACACACAGTTAATAAACAAGTGAAAATGTAAACAAAAACTAAAAAGCAGGATTAAAAAAACAAAAACAAAACAAAGCACCAACCTCACTTAGTAACTGCCACTACCCTGGCCTGACTGACCCCTCAAGAAGTATGCTAAGTGAGCCTCTTCATTGAGGAACACGCCCTGAAATGCCTGAGGTGGCTCTGTTCCTTATGCCCAGCAATGAGATGTTCTAGAAAAGGTCAATGTTTGCTAGGGCTGGTGTGCTGCACAGGTGCAGGAGTAAAAATAAACTATTTGGTTCTGACACTTTTGGAGTAGATATGTAATATACATTTCTAAAAACTTGCAATTTAGACAATGGAGGACCCAAATATGGACTCTGGTTAATACCAATGTATCAATATTGGTTGACTATTAACAAGTTAGCACATCAATAGGAGTATGTAAAACAGGAAGAGGTATTTAATATTTCCCTCATTTTTTCCTGTTAAACCTACAACTGTACAGAAAGCATGCTTTTAAGAAAAGCAATAAAAAAGAATGGGGAGGTAGGATTCTTATACGGTGTGCTCTGGTATTCCTGAAAAGTAACTTTTACTACTGTATCCATTAGCTTAGAATCGAATTACAAGCCACCCTGTCAATTGCTATGCCCTCTTCTTCCTCTCCCCTCCCTGCCACTCTCTGAGATAGTCGTGACTATGGACTCTGGCTGACCTCGAACTCAGAGTGTAACCTCAAACTCACCATGCTCCTGGTTCTAGTTCCCAAGTGGAAGAATCGTGTAGGCATGTATACCATATTTGGCTTTGAAATACTGTTTTGTTTTAAAAACTGGTATATAAAGGGTTAGACACTTGAAAATCAGACATTTTAAATTTTTGACTCTGAAACATCACTACCTTAAAAAAAAACTTTTTATTGTTAATAGCAACTTTTCATTTCTTAATTTTTAAATAACAGAAATATATAGGAGGTGGGTATCAGGAAATATGTAAAATTATAATTTATATGAAGACAATCAGCATTTTTTAAAAATGTGTAAAGTTAGTCAAACTTTGTAATACAATAAAAACTTAGCTGTAGCTAGTAGCTGCTTGATACAAATATTAAAAACAAGATTGTCACACAATCCAAAATCAATTGTTCTAGTTATTTTATCCATATAGCAGTGTTCACTGAAAAAGAATAAAAGGCCCAGAGGAAGTATTTTTAATCTATTACAAGCAATATCCTATTGGCATAACATTCGTTTTTTTTCTCTCTGTGTATAGCCCTGGCTGTCCTGGAACTCACTCTGTAGACCAGGTTGGGCTTGAATTCAGAGATCCACCTGCCTCTGCCTCCCAAGAGATGGTATTAAAGGCGTGGATACCACCCCTGGTTTAAGACAACATTCTTTAGGGATAAGACTATAAAATCCAAAGAGAGTCATGTCAGTGGGCAAGAGCAGTACAAAATGAATTTGTCAGCTGAGACACAGGTGGCTCGGTGCCATTGGGTGTTTCTGCAGAACCAAAGGCTTCTCAGAACCAAGGAGTGGGAGACTCTCCTGAGTGTTGGGCAGCTTTCCTAGGGCCTGGCTTTACTGCAGTCAGAACAGTTTACTGCTGAAACATACTGCCAGATCACTGGGAAAGATGGTCAGAGTGAACATCTGTAGCATAAATGTGCAATGAAACATTATTCTCAGCCCATGAGTTGATTTCTCAAATTGAGAAATAGTCACATACAATTAGTTTTATAACATGAAAATACTAAACATCTAAAAATTTTTAAAAAGGCCAATGTGGACCATGATTTACATCCAGTTACCCCCAGAATGTGCTTCTTTACCCTAACAAATCCTATTTACAGAGAATGTGCGCACTGTGAGTTAAGACATGTCAAATGTGAGTGAGCTGTTATCGTGACTTTCATAAAAAAGATTATATCATTTACAACATCTTTTCATCACTATTAAAAAAAACTAGGCAGTGAGGTGTCACTGTCGTGAAAGAGCTCGTGATCGTAAGGGGAGAAACATTTCACTCGAGTTTCCACAAGTTCCTCCTTCCAACCGCAGGTCTGGGGGCAAAGGGGGTGCCCCAGGGTCTCCAGGTCGAGGAAGCGTGCCCGAGGAGAAGCTGCCGTGTTCAGTTCTGCCGACTTCCAGGACTGGCAAATTCAGAGAGGACTCAGTGGAGAAGAAGGGAGCGGTGCTGGACTCTCCCTCTGGGTGGCGCATGGCAGTGGACACCCTCTGCTTGTCAGAGAGATTGCTCTCATCGGAATTGGACCTGGAAAGGTTGTTGGTGGCTCCCGCGGCAAAGGGCTCACAGCTGCTACATTGCAGGCCTGCGACACAACAGAGGCAAATGAGAAAGCCACCAGAGAGTGTCCCCCTCCCGCCCTGTAACTTCCCCAACCAGAGAGTGCCCCCCTCCCGCCCGGTAACTTCCCCAGGACTGTGAGCCAGGTACAAGACAACCACAACTGTCTGAGGCAGGGGCTCATGGGCTGGCCTTGAACCCACTAAGGAGCCAAGGCTGGTTCCCGCCACCACCTCCTGAGATCTGCGACTACAGGGTGCATCTTGATGCTCAGGACTAGGATTTCAGAGTTGCAATTTATCTCATCGCGATCCACTTCAAAGCTCACTTGCTTTCCTAACAAGACTGCTACTATTTACATTCTCAAGGAAGCTAAGTGCCCCGCTGTTCACCTTCAGTGACTACTTGCATAGCTAATGGTTGAAGGGCGGGGTGGGGAGGGCAAGAGATGGCTCAAAGGAGAAGAGCCCGGGTTCAGCTTCCAGCATCCTCATGGTGGCTCACAACCGTCTGTAACTCCAGTCCCAGGGGACCTGGTTTCCTCTTCTGGCCTCTGCAGGCACCAGGCACATAAGTGCAGGCAAACAGCTCAGACATATAAAAACAAATCCTTTAAAAAAAAAGCTGCTCCTATAATTTTTCATAATTTTTCCACTGAGAGAGGGTTTCACCATGTAGCACAGGTTAGCTCTGTATGTATTAAGCAGCCCAGGGTGACCTAGAACTCAGATTTCTATTTAAGAAACATTCTTTAACTTTCTCGCTTGATAGTCTTACTTGATAAAAACAAAATGTGATCAGGCATATACTCAAGCCAATCAATGGCAGTTACTGGTTCGTGAGTGACACTTAGGAGGATTTAGTGGTCACCTGAGACACTCGCAGTTACTGACAGGGTTGAGGAAAGAGGCCCTCAACAGGTGAGCCATGTAACATTCCAGGGAGACAGGACTGTCCTGCTTCTCACACAACGGTGCTAATGCTACCACAGAATTCTACAGGCACAGGAACCCCTCCCTGGGCTGACGACTACAGGTAAAATCAAAGATGTCTAAAAGCGAATTTGCATGTCATCTTTTCTGCTAACATTTTCAATGTTAGGCTCATCCTCTGTCCCAGCTCTCTGTCTCACTGGATTTTTGAGACAAGATCTTAGATAGTAGCCTAGATTGGCCTCAAAAATCACAGCCCTTCTGCCTAAGTGTCGCAGGTGTATTCCCCAAACCTGACTCAGACACTGTTGACAAAGCTATGAAGGGGAGACAAACAAAGACAGATTCGAGATTCCTATGGGCTGATCCTTAAATGACTCTTCCCATCGCCGATGTCAAGAGCAGCGGAAGGGTGGGAAGGCATTAAAGTGAGCACACAGTTCAGGGTGCCGTGGGCTGAGGATGGAACGGGAGGTTACTTGCTCCTCTTGGGCCAGCCTCGGGTCCCGCGCCTCTCACAAACTGACTCGCTCTAGGTTTAGAGTCACGTACATTTTATGCATGATTCTTATAAGCTTGTGCCAATTACTGCTTTTGGCCAGCTGGTGGGAGACATCACAAAAGCTGACCTAAAATTCGTCATCTACAGATTGTTCTCTACATCCCAGGTTGACCTGGAGCTTACAACATCACCCAGGCTAGCTTTGAACTGGTGGCAATCCTCCTGCCTCGGCATTCTAAGTCTAGGAACACAGGTATAACCCACATAGCTCCTCTTCTTAAAGTGCAATGAATGGTGTTTTCTAAGCTTATTTCTGAATGGACTAAGTTTATAGCATACTTCAGAGATAAACTTCTACACACACAGTCAACTGGGCTCACATCATTCTTGTAGCATGATAATGTATCTGGTAAGAAATGTAAACTGAATGTAACTTTGACCCTCTCAAGCTTTTGAAGAGCGCTGTTAGCTCTCTTTGCTACGGCATCACCCACCCTTGAGATGCTCCAGCTTTATATTCCGCAGTTTCAGCACCTCATCCGTTATCTTCTGAATCAGGAAGTTCTGCGTCTTCTCCCTGCGGATGGATTCCACCAGGGTGTCCAGTCCCTTGGGGTTTTCCTGTAAGTAGTCTAACAACTTCCCAGCTCTTTTCCTACTTGAAGTTCGGCAAGAAATTTCTTCTGTGTCTTCTCTACTGAGTATTTTCTTTGCACGTAGATGATCAAAATGTCTCTCTGCTATGATTTTCTCACACAGGTAAACACGTAAATTTTCTAAAGCCTAAGAGACAAAAGAAAACTATGCTCAATGCTACTTTGTCACACCAGGAAAATCACAGTGGTGACTGGTTATTAGTTAGGAATCTTAACGTATGAGGCAATGCTCTGATGTCAGGAGGGATGGGCGCTTTAGAACACATGCTAAGTAAGGTGATGTCCAGGCAGACCCAGGTGGGTCCCACAGTCCTCACAGACTGCCCAGTTATTTCATCTTTCCTCACAGCTGAAAACTGAGACCCATGGAGGGAGAGGGCCTGAAGAGTCAAGCAGTCTGCAGGTCACCTAGTTCAGGGGAAAGCTAAATCTAGCAACCATCAGGCTGAATTTCAGGGTTAGGACAAGGGAGGACAACCTGGTGTGGACTCTCACAATTTGCAACTTTTCTAATGTTTGTTATTTATTTATTATTACATCACCCCAGTGTGAAACCATTAAAACCACACAAAACCCAAATCCCTGAAAGGCCCCTAGGTCTCTGCTTTGAGGTCAGTTAGAAACACTTTACAACTCACCGAGTCAGTCTTCGTGGAAGGGAGAAGGAAGGGATGTGCCGAGAGGAACATAAAGAAATAGAAGCGAGTGCTGGAAAAACGAAGAAAGGAGACTAGAGGCAAGCCTGGAATGAGGGAAGCTAGTTCAGGCTGGTCTCTGTTATGTACTGAACTTCGGTCTTCACTTGTTTTCACTGAGCCATGCAAACACAGTGCACACATCCATGAGGTAGCATGTAAGATGCTCATGCACACGCTCTAGTGTTTACATCAGACCCACGCTAGTCTTAATAGATGGTGATGATAATCTGATGCCAGTCATTTCATATTCAAGCCTGTTCACTAGACACTTAACTCCACTCTGCCTGTTTCCACATGTGGTGGTTCAGAGGAATAAATTAGTATATGCAAAGTGCTTAGAAATTGCAGGTACGTAGTAGGTGATCGATCGATCCTGTTAGGGACAATGATCATGGTGATGAATGTGACTCACATTTATAATGAGTTAAAGGCAGTGTAGGATTTCCGTAGCGCCTAGTTAGTAAATAATGGCGGGAAAGTTGTCTCATAAGGTTTCTTAGAGGTTTTTATCTACCGTATTCCTACACACATTATTTATCCACAGCAAAACGTTCATGTGTAAGTTCCTAGCATGAATATAAAAATATGAACAAGATTTTAACCCTGTGTACACAGGGCTCTTGGCGTAGCTGGCGGATACACAGCACACACAAGCCAGTGATTACCAGACCCGGTGATACAGCCCCCAAAAGAACAAGGAGAGCCTTTGCAGAGCACAGCTCCCTCGGACGCTGGGAAATTTACAGTGGAGACCTGTGGCGGGAAGACAAGTGTGCGTCTGAGGGTGGGAAGGATAAAGCTGGGAAGGAGAACTGGAGTTAGATCACGGAAGACTCTTACACCATGCTGAGGACGTTTCCTGGTAACCCAGAGGAAGAGTCATCAAACATGCATAAATAAAAGCAACAGGGCAACTTTTAGAACAGGACCAGGGGAAACCGAAATTGGGGTCCAAAGAAAGAACTGCAGCGACGCCAGCAGGACGGCATCTGAGCATATTGTGGGTGTGGAATGGAAGAGCTCACTGAAAAGATGAACTTGGAAACTGCTCGTTTTGCTTTCATCACGTATGCTGACAAGTCACAAACTTACATCTGTGACCCAGATGTTTTCCACTCTGACATCTCAAGGCACTTCAATGTGAAAACTAGGTCTATCCTCCTGACCGTTTCCTAGTCTCACCTCATCTGGAATTGCTGCCACCGTCAACCCCAACTGCTCTCGTTACCCCTGCCAATCGCCATCACTCCAGCACTGCCCGACTCCGGCCTTTATGGGGACTGATAACAGAAAAGCCACATTTTCTAATTCCCTCTTCTTTCTCAAATCTCTCCTACATCTGTAGATTTTACAAATTTTCAGGAGAAATAGAAGTCTGAATTGTCACATAAATTACACCAACAGTGTTTTGCCCGTGACTTGCTGGCTATCCCTGAGGCACAGCGAACTGTCAAGACTCTGAGAGCACTGGGAAGAGAGAGATGGCTCTCGTTCCTGTAGAGGACTGGGGTTGGCTTCCAAGTGTCCACATTGAGGCTTATGATGATGTACAACTCTAGCTCCAGGGATCTGACACGGGACTTCTGACTTCTGTGGACACCAGGGACAAACATGGTGTATGCACTCATAGTGTCAAAACACCCATATTAAAAAAAATCTAGGAAATAAGATGAGCATGGCTCTGGAATAAGATAACCGGCTGTTAAAATCCTGACTCTGATAGGCGGTACAAATTACTTAACCACTGTACCTTCAGGGTCTTCCTTGACAACTTAAGGATAAGGAACTAAACCCATCTAGGAGGACTAACTAGAGTGGTGTATATGAAGTCTCAGCCCAGTATCCCCCCCCCCCTCTCTGTTCTCTCTCCCCTCTTCCCCTCCCTTCTTTCCAGACAGGGTTTTACTGTGTAGTCCTGGAACTCACTCTGTACACCAGGCTGGCCTCAGACTCACAGAGATCCGCCTGCCTCCGCCTCCCAAGCTTAGCTTAGTGTCTTACAGACAGACAGGGACCAGTGACTACTGGATCCTGGCAGACTCTTGATAGCATGGGTCTGCCCCGCCTGTCCAGCCTAACTCAACGGTGCTCTTGATAGCATGGGTCTGCCCCGCCTGTCCAGCCTAACTCAACGGTGCTCTTGATAGCATGGGTCTGCCCCGCCTGTCCAGCCTAACTTAGCGGCGCTCTTGATAGCATGGGTCTGCCCTGCCTGTCCAGCCTAACTTAGCGGCGCTCTTGTTAGCATGGGTCTGCCCCGCCTGTCCAGCCTAACTCAGAGGTGCTCTTGATAGCATGGGTCTGCCCCGCCTGTCCAGCCTAACTCAGAGGTGCTCTTGATAGCATGGGTCTGCCCCGCCTGTCCAGCCTAACTTAGCGGCGCTCTGCCCCAGGACTTGTGCTCCATCTACAAGTGGGGACTGACACTGTTTCATGCTGTTCCGAGTCGGATTTTCTCTTTTCACTCCCTCAGCTCCTCCTCCTCCTCTTCTCGGACTGAGACACGGTCATCTCTGGAGAGCCCTACCTTAGCATTCAGGGTGAGCTGGACACACCTATCTTGCAGCACCGGATTCCCACTGTGTCTCAATGCCCCTCCTGAAGTCACCAGTGACCTCCTCTATGGCGGAGCCTTTCCACCGTCATCTTACTTGGCTTCTCAGAGCAGGGGCACAGCTGATGAGCCCTTCCTCCAGACACAACTTTCTTGCTGATTTACTTCTGATGCCTACGCAACTTCCCTCCGCACCTCTCACCCCCTCTCTGGGGTCTTGCTACACAGCCCACCTGGCCTCAAACTTGTGATCCTTCTGCCTTAGCCTCCAAATGATGGGGACTGCGGGACAGCACCTGAAAACTTCTTATAGGGCCTCAAACGCCTCACTGCTAGCTCAAGCTTTTCAGTGTCAAGCTTGAATTTCTGACTTCATGTCTGCTCCTCCTCAGTTTCAGTTTGCCACCAAGTCCCATTATTTCTATGCTCCTAAATGTTCCTCGAACTTGTTTTATCCATGCCTACTGCCTTCACCCTGATGCAAATCGTCATCACCTCTCTGTACACGTACTCAAGTCTTTTCATACCCTTTCCTCTTTTCCTCATCTCCTAGGTCCACAGAACAGATTTTTAAAAGTCAAACAAACAAAAATCCTACCAATTCCTTAGCGAGTCTCTTTTGGCAGAAAGAAATCAAGTCCTTCATGAGTTTACTGAGGCCACCACCTTCCTCATTTCATCCTGTTACTCTCTGCCTTCCCCTTCAACACTCTGAACAAAGGTCTTGACTGTCTTAGATCCCTGTCAAATTCTTGTCTCCCTCAACTTCTCTCCTTCCAACTCCGTCATAACCTTCAGGAATCAATTTCAGGCACACCTGACCATCCTAGCCAAAATACAATGCTCTGGGATTGCCTTCATAGCACTGACTAAACTTTTAATTGCATGAATGATACTGTATTTTCAGTTTTAATGACTTATATTTCGAGCAGGTAAGAAACAGGGATAATGCTGTATACTCTGCATTGCAGAGTGCAGTGTTTTGGATGAATGAAAAATCCATTACACTTTATGGCAATTTCTCTTCATTCAAGAAATTGAGCTATTTTAAAAATAGAATTTTTGTCTTGGTTCTTAATTTAACTGTTGAAACCAAATTACATTAACAGAGTACCATGGAATCTCTATTTGTTAAGTGAACCAAAATCAACCAAAACCAGGACATATTCAATCTACAGATGAAAAAGGGGAGGAACATTGGAGACAGGTGTCCCCGGGGATCAGCAGCAGGACAATGTTCCCCACTAACATGAGGAAGGCATGTACCAAGACTCAGGGGATGTCTGAAACCTCATGGTACAAATCCCATGCCCAAGCTCTCTGCCATAAAAACGAATCTAACAGTCAAGGCAGCTACCAAGGGACTAACAGGCAGGTAACACTCACAGTGTGATACAGCAGGGATAAGGTGTGACTCCTGTCCTTGGCCAGACGCAGTGGGTGGTACAAATTACCATGCTACTTAGAACAGTGCTCAATTTGTACCATGTAAACTTGTCCAATTCCCGCTAAATATTTCTGAACCATGGCTGACCACAGGCAACAGGGGCCACAGAAAGGAAACCCTGAAAACAGACAGAGCCTCACGTACACACCTTCCCACCATTTATCAGGACGGATGATACAGAAGGAACGCCACGCAGTTGGGGGGAAGGATAACGGAAAGTTCAATTTCTGAAAATATAAAAATAATTTGTATAATATTAAAACCTGATTCCTAGCAAACACTTGGAAATAGAGGTCTGGGGTTGAGAAAGAAGGAATTTCAAGTTATGTGGATGACTTTTTAAACTTGTCACGAGCAGTTTTAATATAACAGGGTATCTGAGGAAAAAATATTTCCTATAGACACCTTGAAGATCATGCACAGTTTCTCTACAGTTGTGAACGTGTGACGTAGGTCTAAACTGGAAATGTCACAATGAACAACGCATGTGTGTCTATAGGCAGGTCTTGTCCTGCTTTGCCAGCTATAGAATGCTATAGCAATTCTCTTCTTTACAGGTTATTTTAAGGACTGTGAGAAAATTCACAACTGTGCGAACAGAACTGGGAGCAGAGCCGCCCCACTCTTAAGTACACGGTTTTACCGGCACCTTAATTAAGACTGTGGCCGCTACGAAAGACCTAGTCTCAAGTAGGATGTACAGAAAGACGCTCTCTACACAGGAAGTGCCCTACCAACAACACGGAACAAGGGAACTGCGCAGGGCACAAATCCCACTCAACCACGCCAATTTCAATCTCGGGCACAGCGCAAGAGACCGCAAGGGCTAAGGCACGGCAGGCACAGGGATCTGAAGCAGAAACGACTTCAGCAGCTCGCTCTCAAGTTCGCAGAGACGGCTTTCAAGGACGGGTTACCGTCGCCTTTGCTGTGGAACTCCCGCACGTTCTCTAAGGGGTGTCCATCTGACTTTCTGCCGTTGTTCCCCGCAAAACACGTAACTAGGGGTTAAGAGCAAAGAAAGCGAAGCGCATCGTGCCCGGGAGTCACCTTTCTCGAACCAAAGGTGCGCGTGCGATGCAGCCGCCACCGGGTGTTTTCAAACGTCTCCCCGGCAGCCGGGCCTCGCTGCAGGCGTGCACGCCCCCCGTGATTTGCGTGCGTGGGCGCCTGGGGACCGGGGAATTCCGGGCTGAGCGTCCAGCGGGCGAGCTCGACGGACGGACGGACGCAGGGCTGGCTGCACCGGGGACACCGGGGCCAGCGTCTGCTCCGGCGGCCCTAGCCTAGCCGCCCCCGCGGGGAGAGGTGGAGCGGGGCGGGGATCGGCAGGACGGGGAGCCGCGGGCGGGGAGCGGAGGGCAAAGAGACACCCAAGCCGGGGCCGCGGGTCGCCGGCAGCCAGCCCCGGGTGCGGTGGCCCGGCCTTGACATTCTTCCGACACCAGGTTGCCCGTCGCTCTGCTCCGGGTTTCCGCTTCCCCCCGCCCCCGCCCGCCCCGCTGTGCTCGCCCGGCCGGCCGAGCTACTCACGTCCTTCTTCACTTCAGTGAGGTCCTCCTCGGTTAGGGACGGCAAAGGAGCCTCCATGGCCGAGGCCCGGATGGCGTCCTTCCGGCCCCGCCCAGGCTGAAGGCTCGGGTCTCCGGGACCCAGGCTGTGACTTTGGGGCGGGCGGGCGGGCGGGCGGCGGGGATGAGGACCAGATCCGGGGGGGAACGGCCGGCTCCCGGAACGCAGAGGTGCGGAATCTCAGCGCCCCACTTCCGGCTCCGCCCCTGAGGCCGGCGGAGCCACGCTCGGCCCGCCTCCACGTCCCTAGCGGGAAGGCCTCGCTCAGGCACCACCCTTCGGAGAGGCGGGTCTAACCTTCGGGCCCCGCCCCTTGCACGTGGGCCAGCCAATCAGTGCTAGTCCGTGGGTCTCGTCCCCTTCTTCCGGGAGTGGCTTCGCCCACAGGGGCCTTCTCTCTTCAGCCACGCCCCCGCGTCTTATTTGCATAAGGTGGCGGATTGGTCCGCCGAGAAGGACTCGCTCAGTTTAGCGGGCTCTCCCCGCCCTCGCAGACTCCTCATCTGGGTGGAGTGTGGGCTGAGTCCGCTGGTCGTTTGCTTTGCTTCTCTTTTCCAGATGTTGCGGAACGATTTCCTGTTGGTGCGCTGGTCCAGGTTTTATAATTGCTTGCATCATACACAAACTTTTGCAGGTATGCCAAGCATACGTAACTTCAGTATTGAAATGTTTGAGGACCTGGTCCCTGCCCACTGCCACCGGCAACCTAGCACTAGGAAGACCGGAGCACCAGGATCGTGAGAACAGAAAACAAAATAACGACAACAAAATAAACAAGTAAATAACGAAAAACAGTGTTAAAAACGTCACCTGCAACCTCACCGTTTTAGCACCTAAAAGCAATGTTGGGGTACTTTTAAGTCACTTCGTTGGGAACATTTCCCCTTATCTAAGCAATAGAGATGGATTTAGTAAGCTTCTAGGGGTATATTAAAGGTTCTGAAGTTACTTGGTGTGCAGTTGCACGCTCTTGTTTGTTTTTACGCTTTATCATTGCCCACTAGGCAAGTGTGTTAGTCATCTTGTCATGGGGAAGTTATCTTATTGGAGGCCAAATGGCTATTCCCAGAATGGAATTCTAACGTGTAGCAGCATGTGCGAAAACATAGGAGATCGTGGATGAGGAGCTCCAGATAGAGCGCCACGCCAAAAATGATTACACGGACACCATGGTGACACTGCAAATGTAGATTCAAATGACCAGAGGACCAAAGGCAAGCTTGGGAACCCGGATCGGTATACAAAACACAGGAGCCAGGAACGGCTTACAGCCACGTCCACGTAGTTGGATCAGAGCATAGGATTCTTGGTTTTTACATTATGTTACATGTCTTTTTTTTATTTTTCACGCCGATGGGTGGTACGATAGTCTCTTCCTATGGCTTAGTCATCCAGCATCTTGCTATGCCCAATTTGCATAATCATTTGCCCTTCCATAGAAGAAGCATTTGTCGAATGCCAGCTGCTTGACTGCACCCCAGACATTCTTCTAGGTTTTGGTGAGTAACACAGATCAAACATCCCTTTCCTTAAGCTGGGGTGTGGCTGCACAGTCTCTGGGTGTGCTGTTCAACTAGTTGCCTGCACCTGGTCCCAGGGTAGCTATAAATTTGACTAAATCTTAAACCTGCTTGAAGCATTATGGCATTCTCTTCTTTTTTGCAGTGTCTTTTTTATATTTTGGATATATGGTTTTTGTGTTTGAACTCTGCAGATGATATTACCCAGTCTCAAGATCAAAAGATTGGACACAGTTGTCAGTACTTGGGAGGCCAAGATCAGACTGTCCAAGTTCAAGGTCAGTCTGGGGTACTTAGTAACTTACTGGGCCAACCTGTGCTACCTAGGAGCACCCTGCCTCTAACAAGCAGAAAAACAAAACTAAAATCTGTTTCCTCATGAAATTTATATTATAGCATGTCGACACCTGAAGCGTTTCATGTGTGGGTATTTAACATGTTAGAAGCTCACACATGCCAAGAGGAACAATAGAGAAGGGAAATAGGAAGGGTGGTGGTGCAGACTCACTGGGAGGAGGGATAAACTTCCCACCTGCAGGAAGTGAGGAGGAACCCGGGGGACAGATGGAGAAGGGTCTCTAGGAGTGGGGTGCACACCAGCAAACAGACTCGGAGTGATGGGGACATGAACTCCTGTGTGTATAGTCTGACTTCGCTCTGAGTCATGCAGGCTTACTCTGACTCAGAAGGGACGCCACCAAGACTTCAGAGCAGAGGGATGACAGGTGTCATCTATGATTCAAGGGTCTCTTTCACCGTTCTAGGAGGGGAGACAAGCTGGACAGCTCCGGTCCAATGTAAACCCCAGGAGCTAGCGGTTGGGGCTGGGTGGGAGGGCCTAAGTGGGAGCTGTGATTGAGAACGCCTGGAAGAGAAGGGGAGAGGAGATTGGATTTTGTTTTGAAAGGCTCGCAGTAGCTGTCAAAAGAGAATAGACTGGAGAAGGGTGGAAGAAAGAGAAACAGCTCCAAGCGTTATTCTCCATCTACCCAGTACCATTTGAACACCCTTCACCATCACTTTTGGTCATGGAAAATTGTCAAGCAATTTCCCTTTTTTCTTTGCAATCAGGTCTATATTGTTCAGGCAAGTGTTGAACTGGACTCAAGCCGTCCTCCGGCCTCAGCCTTGTGCATGATCTGAAGTTCTCGGTCCTCGATTTCTAATGCATTCTCTTCCTCCATTAGGAAACTCATGTCCTCTTTTTTTCTAAATCACAGGGCAAGACTGTAATTGCTTCAGGAAAACGTGCCTGGCCATCCTTTGCATTAAGTACCTCTTCCCAACCACGAGCATGAAACTGCATTGCCGTCTCAACTTGTAAGTGTGCCTGTGTCCTACTCTGAAACACGAGATACCCCATCTGAGTACTGTAGACACAATTTAGAAGCTGCAAACCCAAGGCAGTGGGATTTTAGCCTATGATGCTGGGACAGTGATGAAACTGCTCAACAAGTTTCTCAGAGTGTCTCCTCGTGGGTAAGGGACACAACACATGAGTGTGTTTTCAAATAGGATCAATTTCTGAGGCTCCCGTGGATGTCCAACGTAGCACACCAGTAGCTGAGATGTGTTCCGAGAACAATTAGTAGCAATCAGTAAACGGAGTTTTATAGGAATATGGGGGAGGGAAGAATCAATCATTTACAGGTGATAAGATGTGAGACAAACGACATCTTAAAAGCAAAGCTTTAAGCTGAGTGGCAGGATTTTATCAGAGGAGCCTTAACTACTTAATGATTTATCCCGAACAACACATTTAATTCCAGGTGATCGTGAACTAGAAATTTCTTGTAAATAGAAAATGAAAGTGACTATGTCTGAGACACATAGATATTCTTGGGTGTTAATGGCCAAACAGTGCCTGGGGACTTTGTGAAGGAGGCCCAGGAGGTGCCCGATGGTGAAAATGGATGACTTCCACAGTGGTACCCTGATCGCTGCCTCTAGGTGACTGACTATCTTCACTTGACAGGTGGGAAATCTAAGGTTTAGAAAACATGATTTGCTTAAGGCCATTCTCCCAGCAGGTAGCCGAATCCGGATTTCTACTCATCTCTGATAGTGTGACCGGTGTTCTAAGCACCAGCAGTACACTGACAACTGTCAGGGCACAATTATTCAGGAAGACAAGGGTCCTGGAGCAAGGCAAAACTGTGTGATGCACTCAGGTCTGTTTTCCAGGCAGGCTAGGAACAACAAATCCAGAAAAGTTATCATGTGATTATCTGACTTCCTAAGAGACAAGGAGCAACTTAAGACGCCCTCCCCGCCCCCAGAAAGGAGCTGTAGGGTCCTTAACGGATTCCCAACCATACTCTGACCAGGTCACCCCACAGACTGTTGAGGTAGAAGGGGCCAGAGGTGAGCTCAGGGCTTAGGAAGGTCATTGATGGACAGGACACACAGGCATTGGCACCATGACGAGGAGGCCACAGCTTAAACTGTAACAGGAATCAGTACTTTATTCCTTTTCTCTGGGCAAGTTACTTTCCAAGCATGGATATGCCGCATCTTATTTATGTTACTCTGGGAACATTTGGATTAATTCTGCATATTTTGACAGCCATGAATGGACACACACATAAAGCTGTGTGAGCATATGCTTTTATTTCTTTTGGGTGTAGTCTTAAAAGTGGAATTTCTGGGTCATGTGCTAACCATACTTAGCCTTTTAAGTGACAGTGGCAGTTTCAAAACTTCTCAGCTGGTTCTAATATTGAACTGGCACCTAGAACCAGTGACATCAACGGAGTTGTGAAACTAGGGATCCTTTCTGACAACTTTGGGGAGACATTTGCAGAGTCCTCCACAAGCACCAGGGGTCTTTGTAGAGGAGGAAGGCTTCAAAGCTGATTTCTGGCAGCTTCTACGATAACGAAGGATTATTGAGCCCAGAGAGCCAAAGTGTCTCAGTGCCCACACTATCCCCAGCTTTGTTTGCGTTCACATATACACCAATGGCTTGGCCTTGAACACCGGAAACAGGGTTTTCAAGCTTTGTGTGTGTATGTCCATGGGTCCATATTACATGTGTGTGCCCATGCATTTGAGGCCAGAGGGAAGTCTTTGGCATCATTTCTTCTTTGTTTCTCTCTCTCTCTCTCTCTCTCTCTCTCTCTCTCTCTCTCTCTCTCTCTCTCTCTCTCTCTCTCTCTCTCGTGTGTGTGTGTGTGTGTGTGTGTGTGTGTGTGTGTGTGTGATAGTTCCTGTGTTGAAGTTGGAGGACAACCAGTGGAAACTGGTTCTTTCCATCCATCACATGGGTCTGGGGATAGAAAGCTGATCCGACATGGTGGCAAGTGGCTTTACCTTCTGAGTCATCTTGTTGGCCCCACCTTCTCTTTTGAGACAAATTCTATGATTAACACTTAGTGTCAACCTGACAGAATCTGGAGTTGTAACCCTCTGTGCACACCTGAGAAGAATTCTGTAGATTAGGTTAGCCTCTGGGCGAGCCTGCGATGGATTATCTTGATTAGGTTAATTGGTGCAGGAAAATCTGCCCTGACGTTGGCAGCACCATTTCTTGGGCTGAAGTCCTGGGCTGGTCAAAAAGGACAGAGGGAACTGGGCACTGATGCTCACCGCCCTCTGGTCTCTGACTATGGATGGTTCCAGGTGCTTCCGCCATGACTTCCTTACCATGTTGTACTATGTCCTGGAAGTATGAGCTAAGTTGCATTCTTTGGGGATTTTATCACAGCAACAGAAGAAGATCTCTCACTAAGATCTGGGGGTCACAGATTAGGCTAGGCTAGCTGGTCAGTGAACCCCAGGAACCCACCTGTCTCCACCTCCCCAGCACTAGAGTTACCACACTGGCTTCTTACATGGGCGCTGGGAATTGAACTTGGATCTTTATGCTTTCTGGGCAAGCACTGGGTGACTGAGCCATCCCTCCAGGCCCCCAGTCTTCTTTCCTAATTACAGAACCCCCTCTTCCAATGAAGTCTTCACGGAAGCTTAAAGATAAAACGGAAGAGATGTCGCCCACTGAGGAGAGGCTGGGCCTGCAGAAGTTTTCTTTCTCGCCTGCCCACATGTCTACCTTTGAGCCATCTCAGAGCACTTAGAGCCTTACAAAACGTGGCTTACAAACGCCGCTTATGCAAGAGGGCGTTTTCTCCAACTTGTAGATAACGCAAAGCTGAGAACATAAAGATGTTCAATGTTGAAAGGAGAGACTTGGGGCTAAAATGAGGTGTAATAGAGCTCAGCGGAAAGAAAGTGAAACGCAGTAAGAAGTATAGTGCTTTGTAGTGAGCTCCATCAAGGAGTGGTGTCTTCTCCGTGCCTGCGTGCGTGTGCGCACTCAGACACGCACGCACGCACGCACGCACGCACACACACACACACACACACACACATGCAGGCACGTATGCACAGAGAAAACTTGCTCTCCCGTGTGTGTGTTTGAGAGAAGGAGGGTGGTTGAGAATAAGTAAATCAAAAGCCAGAAAATGGAGTGTCTGGCCTAGTGGTTTTGACAGGGCTTCCCGATCCAAGCCTCTATGCTCCTGTTGTCAGAGCGGCCCAGAGAACTGTGCACATTGTCAGAGGCTTGCCCTCAGGGGCAGAAAGCTGCTGTTTTCTCATATGAGAGAAGTGGATAAGAGCTCGTCTATTTGACTACTATCTAGTCTACTCTTCCGCTAGACTGTAGCCTCAGCAAGGCCAGGGCCTTCTCTGCCTTTCCACCGATGCTCCTGTTTAGTCATTAAACAGAAAGACATCCTTTTAAAAATCTATATTTATTTATTGGGAGGTCCTGAGGTGGAACTTAGGGTCTCGCTCATGCTAGGCAGTCACTATATCTCCAGACCTCTTCATACCCTTCTATTTTAAAACAAGGTCTTTATAAGTTACCCAGGCTGGTCTTGAACTCACTCTGTAGCCCAGGCTGATCTTGAACTCAAATTGATCCTCCTGCTTCGGCTTCCTGGCCAGCCAGGATACAGGGCTATGCCAGAAGGCTCAGCCTAGAAAGGCATTCTTGATCCCTCTGTGTTAAAGTGCTTTCCCGTACTCCATGGTTCTGCTGGGCTGCCATTGTGACCCACCCGGAAGAGGTATAGATAATTCAGTGTTCTGAAGATCTTCTGGTCCTAGATCTAACACACTCGTACACACCAATCCCTCAAACCCTCCTCTACACCGAGCCCCCTCCTCCACCCCGAGCCCCCTCCTCCACCCCAAGCTCCCTCCTCCACCCTGGGCCCCCTCCTCCACCCTGAGCTCCCTCCTCCACCCTGAGCTCCCTCCTCCACCCTGGGCCCGTCCTCCACCCTAGGCCCCCTCCTCCACCCTGAGCCCCCTCCTCCACCCTGAGCTCCCTCTTCCACCCTGAGCTCCCTCCTCCACCCTGAGCTCCCTCCTCCACCCTGAGCTCCCTCCTCCACCCTGAGCTCCCTCCTCCACCCTGAGCTCCCTCCTCCACCCTGGGCCCCGTCCTCCACCCTAGGCCCCCTCCTCCACCCTGAGCCCCCTCCTCCACCCTGAGCTCCCTCCTCCACCCTGAGCCCCCTCCTCCACCCTGAGCTCCCTCTTCCACCCTGAGCTCCCTCCTCCACCCTGGGTCCCCTCCTCCACCCTGAGCCCCCTCCTCCACCCCGAGCTCCCTCCTCCACCCTGGGCCCCCTCCTCCACCCTGAGCTCCCTCCTCCACCCTGAGCTCCCTCCTCCACCCTGGGCCCCCTCCTCCACCCCGGGCCCTGTCTCTGTGGTTTCTGACTCACCTCATTTTCTGGTTTCCAGCTTTGCTTTCCTCTGTCTTGAATCATTCCTTTACCACTTACTGTATCAAGCTCAGGCAAGTTACATCACTGCTCCGTGCCCAGGTTCCTCATCTACTCAGCAAACAAAGCTCAAACAATCAAGGAGTAAACACAAAACCCTGGAAACAGAGGCATTTAAACAGAAGGAAACTGTGACCGTGCCTCACAGGTTGATGGATGTGAAAGACGTTCAGTAGTCAGCTTCTTGCATGAACCCTGCAGGCATAGGCCAGCTATTGCTGCTGTCTCATTATTTTTTGAGACTTACTATCGTTATTAACACATCTCTCAGATCTTGCGTTTCTCAGCCCTGTTTTGACGATGGCCTTGATTCCCCTCTCCAGCAGGATTTTTCCTCTCTGCTCTGCCGCCTTGAGCAAGCCTCACCTCCGTCCTACCCTCTCGTTCTATACCAGTTCCCTCTGGTCAGTACTCATACCACTGGCTGGCCGGCAGAGCAGAAGCAAAACCCACTGTTGCTATGGCATCCTCGTCGACCCTGGGATTTTGATCCAGCGCTGTGTATCTTGTTTGCTGTTGGCCATGACAAGCTGATGGAAGTGAGGGTGTGTTTGCAGCACCTCAACTTCTGGGCAGCGAGCTCATTTTGCATGACATAAACCGCTGGGTGCCAACTCTGAAAGTCAACCTGGGCTGCTGTCAATATTCCTTTCACTCCATCAACCACCAACAGCCTTGTAGAACCTGCTGTTGATGTAAGCAATATAATTCCTAGAGGACGTGCCTCAACTGGCTTTGAATAGGGATAGCGTATTGATTTTGTTTCACCAGGAAACATGCATGTGCTCTTTCTAAGTAGGGGGTCTACTAACAGATGGGTCATTGTTTCTCAATGTACATGTTATCAAGGGGTCTTTAGGAAGCATATTGCTCAGCACTGGAGAGATAGCTCAGTGGTTGAGAGCAGGGGATTGCTGCTTTGTAGAGGGCCGGGTTCAATTCCTAGCACCCATCTCAGGTGGGTCCCCAGTCACCTGTAACTCCAGTTCCAGGGGATTTGTCACCCTCTTCTGGTG